GGGCCAGGTTGAAAAAAGCCTCCTGCCCCATGGACCAGTCGTGCTGGGGACTGTGAACAAAAACTCTCCCCACCAAATCTTGCACTTTAGAAACCACCATAGGACACTGGAAACAGCTCACCCTTCCAACGCCCAGGCTCTGCCTGAACACAGCTTTGTGTTTCATGTGGGATTTCTGACATGCATTTCACTGATGCCAGAGGCTTCACTACTATTTCTTCTGTCCACATGCCCACTACGAACGGCAAGAATAGTATTACGTAGTAAAAGAATGCACGGAATGATTAATTGAGTAGATTAACCTCCAAAACACTGGGCCAGCTGTTTTAGCATACTGAGTTTTCGAGACCAATATGCTGAACCAGCTGTTCTTATATGGAAGGTAAATTTGTCCACTTTGTATTGCAACATGAATAGTTTCATCCTATTCCATACCTTACTATCTTCAGTGGACATCTGGACCACTGCCAGTATTTTCGATAACAAGCCTGCATTTCTTTTGCATGCTATAAGGAACTTCAAAGATGTCARGTGATTTATTCAATAAAGCCGATCTTTCCATGTCTTTCCATGGGATGCACACACTCGCTCTGAGCGCCGCTGTCTGCAGCGAGATGCTCCAGGAAGAGATGAAGGAAGGTGATGATTTCAAACAGGCTCTGACAGCAGCACGTGCTAAGCCCAAACTCTGCTCTGGCTCCAGGCACTCTCTCCCCTTCTTCCCAAGGCAGCCCAAGACACAGACCCATGCAAACACACATATGCATGAGATTAATATCATTTCCTTTTCCAATGCATGCAATTCCTTCATTTGCTAATGAAATGCTAGCCAGCTGCCAGTAGCAGGGAGCATCCGAGACAAACTTCTCCTAGAGTAATTCACAGGGGGAAACCCTTCAAGAAACCTTTCCTTCCTCTATACATTGGAGCACACTTGGGAAACATTTTGCATCAGAACATCTCATCTCTCCTAGCCAGGAAGAAATTAGGAATCCAGAGGCCACCTCACACTCTGCTTCTGCCTTCCCTCTGCAGTGCAATGTGGTCAGGCTCCTCCAGAGAAAAGCAAAACAACTTGGGAGATTACCTGCACATACAGGTCAAGCTGCAGAAATGGTTGCAATTTGTGTGTAAGGAGAGGCTATAGAGCCTCGGGAGTCTTGGAAGAGCCGAYGAGAGCACTTGGCACCGGGACACGGCTGCATCCGTTCTTGGCATTTCTAAACCCAACTCACTGCAGAAAAGCAAGRCCCAAGCACAAAGATGATTTGTCATGCCCAGCACTCTGTGCTCAATCGCATTTCTACCCTCTGATTCMCCCTGTAAGCCTCTTTGGAATTTGCTTAATTGGCGGGATTTTACGAGSTTGGGGTCAGCCCCAGGCACTGACTAGCGAGCGAAAACTGCACAAGCAAAGACAGAGTCTGACAAATTCCAGTGTTTACCTGAGAAGCGGGATGTGACAGGAGGGAAGCAGCTGTAAACTGCAGAAGACGTTTTGAAAGAAAGAATTGTGATGAATCACTGTTTTGTATTGGTTTTTGTATTGCTGTGTTTCCCTCTATCCCTTATTTTTACCTTCTGCATAACAAAAAGGCCGCGGATCTCCACRCTTGCCGGAGGGGTTGAGCTCCTCAGTCCCACGCTGAATATCAGGATGCTGCTGCTTTCCAGGATACATCACCATTGTGACCGGGTCTGACTCCTGCACGTCTAAAAATCCTGCTAATCACAATGGAATGGTGGTGCAAACAGATCCGGGCTATCCTTGGGGGTCAAGTGCCATTTCCAAAATAAAGTCTACTTGCAAAGTATGTCAGAGATTTGCAATACAACCCTGTTAAACGGTGGTGCAAACGCACAGCAAGGCAAAATCAGGCACAGGTTCTCGCTCCTATTCCACTGCCCCCAGATACAGATGTGGAGGGACCTAAATGTGATTTACCTCTGAGCTTAAGAGTGGGCAATAAGTATGAAGTGAGGAATTACTTATCCTGAACTTAGTTCAATAGAGGGGCTGGTTCAGAAATGGCCATTTATGACGCAATATATAGGGAAAACAGGGTAATTTCATTAACATCAATACAATATCTGTGTGATTGACTACAGCAACGCAATGGATCTCTTTTCCATATGTGAATGCATGATGTTTCTCAATATAAATACTTCGGGCGGTAGTTTCATAGCTATTCTAAAAAGCATGGAAACAAAACACACTTTAGCTGGTAGATCAGAATTTGCCTYGTGTCACCTCTTGTTTATAAGTAGGTTTTAGGAAAGAGTTAGAAAAAGTTAGAAAAAATCCCCTTAATTCATGTACTTTCCAGCTTTACAAAGTTGCTGCTATTAACCTGCACAACAGGCAGCCCTAATGATTTTAGGTCACATTTTATATTACGTGGTTTTATTTATAAACGGTTTATGAGGGACTAATCAATATTTAAATGCATTTTAAGTGTGTAAGCAAGTGTTAGGGAGGGTTTTCCATACATCAAGAGAGGAGACTATAAACACCTATAATCTATGGTTCCTAAGTAACCTACTGGGCTACTTAGATTCTGTAACAATTTTAATAAAAAGTTATCCCATTAACAAAAGTTCTGCTAATAACTTGGTCTTTCTAAACAAATTGGAAATCTGCTATAGAAGGAGTCAATTCTATGACCTATTTAGTGTACGAGAAACAGGGAGGAAGAAACTATAGGTTTGATTTTTAAATGCCACTCTCCCACTGTAGACCTGAGCGAATACTATAACATTTCCAATGCAAACACCATTACAGGGTCATTCGGAGATTGGGGCATTTTATCACACTTCCTGAGGGTTAGATTCTGCTCTAAGGCTCATAAATTGGAGTCTCCCAGGAGCTGCTTGCTGTGCATATCTGTGTGCGTAGGAGGGCAGAGTGTAGCCTTTTTATTTACAGTAACATTAATTAAATTACTTCAATTAAATATCATATCAAATTGCATTAAGATAACATTAAGAACACAGAGGACTGTCAGAATCACTGCTGCACTAGGGTTAATGGGAGACACACATAGKTAGTTTTTAATGCACCTCCCTATAAAACACACCCCAAAGGATGCAGTTTAAACTGACATACACAAAACCAAACTTTTTGCAAACCATCTTTTACRATGGCCTCTTTTTTTGCACCATTTCCCATCATTTGGAGGGATTTGTTGCTGTGCTTTTCTGAAGATGAGGTACATTGGGCAAAATGGAGGAACTCGATAAATGACAATTTCTGATCAACTCAGAGCAATCGATGCACCCCAAAGGTACCAACTGCAGCTAGTTCACAGGGCAGGCAGTTCATTACCAAATACGTTTGAGTACATTCTGTGTTTTTAACCTAATTCTTCTCTGATTAAATGTTGTAATAATAAYAGAGATTCCTGCAGACAAGGTAAAGGATTATAAAAAAAATTATTCTTCACTGCTACACCCAAAAATCCCACAATTGGTTTGAGCTGCTGCTGAGTGCTGACAGATCCACAGCTGGATGGTGGCTCCGTGTTTCTGCTGCTGTATCAGCTGCTCATAGACTCTCTAGAATTTAACTTTTTTTTTCTCAGACTTTTACAGCAGAATTAAAAAATAAAAGATGTTTGCTTATCCACTGATCAAATTAGCACAGAACTCTATGTGCCTATATTTTCAACCAGAGGAAAACATTAAGGAGATTCAATATTTATGTAATGTTTTATGGAAGTTCAATAGAAAAATCCAATATAATTTCCCAATTAAAATCACCTGCTAGTTGACTTACATCCATTACCATTATCTCAAGCTGCTGTATACTGAAGCTATCCACACAATAACGTTAATGTGAGCATACGCAGGTTAAATATTAGTAATTACTGTCTAGACAATTCCCTGTTAGCTATAGCTGAGCGAATATAATGAATAATTTATTGATGAATTTTACATTCCTTTTCCTCCGTGTGAACTGCTCATGACCAGCTAGGAAAATTTGAAAATGACTCATTTATCAGAATTATTTTATTTATCAGAATATAAAATTTTTAGCCAAAATACTTTTCCACCAACTGCAGCTAGTTGAACTTGTGGTTCAAAATTCATATTACAGTCTATGGAGATCATAAGTTATTGGTTCACTTTTGCCTGAGCATGTAATCATGTAACTGGCAGCTATGGCACAAAAGCTCTTATGCAACAAGAAACAGAGTTTGCAACTAATTTGTTATATAAATCATCCAATTTAGAAACAAGCAACACAGCTTACCATCCAATAACTAATCAAAATTTTCAAATGGTGAATTTACAACTGAAAATAACTGCTGAATACAAACTGATAAACAGACCTACTTGTCCTAATCATCCAAAGACACGTTTCTCAACAACCTTTGGGTGGGCTCTTTCTAGGCTGAGCTAGATAAAGTCCCCAGGTACCCACAAGCATTAAAGGCCACTAGAAAAGTACTATTGAAAAAGGGACTGGACCCACTTGGGCAGCGCTTGAGAGGAGCAGAAAGGCTGGAGGGGGAACCTGAGCCCATGGGCCAACTGCAAGACAACTAAATACCTGGTTCACCAAAAGGACTCCAAGTTTACTTCTTTTTAACACCTCAAAGGGATGACACAAGGTAGGGCTGGAGGGTTGCTTTAGCCATAGACTGCTGGTCCCTGGAAACTAGATGATATGTGGTAAAAAGCTCTGATTTTGGAAGCACTCCTTACCTTGGCATGGACCACAACAGCATATTTGTGCCTTTGAAAATCAAGTTCAGCCTCAAAACAGAGGCTGGAACAAGAGGTCTTTTTAACTCTGTGGGATATCAAACACATTTTGATGTCCCTGGTCTGAGGAAGAAACAGCACACGGGTTAAATCTGCCTTTTGCCTTATAAAGCTCGAGCAGCACCAAGTACAATGAGCCTCTTAACCAGTGCTGGGAGTACCAAAAGGTTGCAGCATCCAAAAGGCCCCACGGTGTCTTCTTAGCAAACTTAGAACCTTGTGGCTTCCGCTGTATCTCGGAGCCAGGTCAACACTCCATGGCTTGCCTTGTTCCCAACTGCAAGGAAAGAGAAGGAGAAAGATGTCCCTGGGATCGGGGATGAGCAAAATGTCCCGCAGCTCAGGAAGGCTGATGGACAAGGAAAAAATCCTTGCCCTTTGGTCAGGGTGGCCCCTTGGCCATCGCAGAATGAGGAGGTCTCTGATCGCTGCTCTGCTCCAGCTCTACGATGCCCTTTTAACTGAATTCAAAAAAACAGAAATTGCATGTAAAATAATTACGGAGCCCAACGCGGATATTGARGCTATGCAAATCGGAGCAACTAAACTAAGGTCAATGCCAGCTCTGAGCAAGAGGTAGCTTCAACACAAATGACTTTAAAAAAAAACTCTTTGGTAGAACAATATGTACATAAGAAATACGGCGCTGCGTCTGCTTGGCAAGAATATGGCTCTGCCTGCATAATCTAAGAATAAAATGCCTCACTCAAACGGGGACACACAGCACAAAATTAGTTCCTGCAGAAGGGACACAGCTCGCTGTACATCTTATTAATACAGGATGACAATTAAACAGTCCTAATAGGACTTACTCTCCAGCTGGCAGAACAGTTCAAAAACAAATATCATTTTGCTACGTGTTCCCATTATATTTATGTGCTGATTTAATTAACARTAATTTCAGTATTTCTGAGATTTCTTCTCTGTTTTATAAAAGATGCCCTTTTGATGAGGGTTTTAGTTCAAATTACTGGCCAATCARCTGTAGAACGAGCCTGAAATGCCAAGTTAATAGTCAATAAAACCAAAATGAGCTTTCTGGAAAAAAATTACAGATGAGCCAAATTATCRGCGAGTGGTTAAGGACCAAGAAGATCACTCATTTTAGGTAAGCACTAGAAGGTCCGTAGCTTCCTCTGCCATGCTGTGCTTCTCTGCTCTAGGTGCTTTTCCCTTTGGGCCGGCTCCACTCATCCTGCTCACAACCACTGTTTCGAGAAGCTCCCTCAGTCCTGCCCTGCAGAAGGTCCCACTGCTCTGGGCAGCTTGTAAGGGGATCCTTCCATTTGCTCGCACTGAACTTCCATCAGCGGATCTCCAAGAGAGCAACCCCCAGTTGCAATGAGAAACACCTAAGTGAGTGTTTGTCCATCAGATAAAAAGCCCCTCGAAATTACAATTTCTTTCCAGAGACATGAGCGTGAAGTGCAAAATTCAATCATCAGTAGCTGATAACAAAGAAGCATCTCCAGAGCAGCACATTCCCAGGCAAGAGAGTAGGGCAGAATGAACATGGAAGAGGCAACACACACACAGGCTCCGTGCTGGCAAGATCCATCCCAGGAGCAGACACAGCRTCGATGGGACAAGGGATCACGGCCACATGGCTCCTCTGGCACAGCTGCCCATGCAACACGTCAACCAGCGGCCACAAACAGGAGCAGAGAGCGATGCTCCCCTTACCTCCACCCAGTTAATCCCTGCCCGGAGCATCGCTAAAACTACTCTTTAATGGGATGACAATGAGGAAAAGAAATCAAAACTGGTTTTATGATGCTTCTAGGCAGATTATCTGAAGACAAAGGCCAGACAAGGGCAGAGCAGGGGCTCCCACAGTGCTGGTTCCTGGGAGCCCAGAAAGAGGGAGTTTTTTGAAGAGCGATGAATGCAGAAAGCCAGCTTTGCTGCACTGGGAAGGACCTTCATCTCACGGGCTAATCGTCAGCTCTCAGCAACACTGAAAACAACCAGCAATATGTGGTCAAATCACCGCAATTTAGTACATTCTGGAGTAATTTCTAAGAGGGGGATTAGTGGAGAATGCTGCCATTAGGACCGGATTCCCAGGAGCTTGCAGGAAGATCTCCRAGTGCTGGGCATCAGCACGCCCTGCCTCTTCATTAAGGGCTTAGACTAGAGGAGCAGCAAGATCAGCAAGTGTATCTGATGTTATGAGAGAAAATTATTGCCACACAGTGGAATAACATGCTGGTTTTACTCAAGCAGGCATCAAACACGAGTATGAAATCCCTCATATAATCTCCAGCTATTGTCATTCAATGTTTATCATCCAGCACAGTTGAATACAATCCTTATCTTTGATGGATGTGGCACACAATAGCTGTTTTCTTGAGTGCATCATAAATATTAATGGCATTCACAGAGCATTTTCTCCARAAGTGCCATGTCACATTGCTTTTATGGAATCTTGCAAAATACCATTATTTTTGTCCCACCAATAGCAAATTCTCTTTTGGCTTCTTTCACCCATTTTTGCTGTCAGCATTAAATGATAGGAAAAGTTTCACCGAGCAGCAAAAGGAAGGGAAGGTGGATGGATCTGAGCAATTCCAAGGCCTCGTTCAGATGTCAAAAATGAAACACTCAGAAAAACAGAGGGGAGGATTTGGCCAGAATTTCATTTTGGAAGAACTGAGCATTAKTTAATCAAGTCTAATCAAACGTATTAACTCTACATTTTTTTTCCCCGTTGTTAAAAGAGTTTTGTTCACCCCAAATAGCTTTTTCTCGGAATGTTTGATCACAAAGAGTATTGAATTCCAGTCAGAATGAAGCCCTTTTGGAAACTCTTCATGGCAAGCATTCTCCACACATTTCTCTTTAAGATTATTTGAGCAGCAAATTCTCCTCCTGGACCAAATTTAATAAAATTTGCAGAGGTTTGTATGTTGGCCGATACAGTTCAAGTGTCTACATAAAATTCCCCCTGTGCTTGTTAGAACAGCCTTACAAAACAAAGCTATTAAATCCCCATAACAATTAATTTCAAGACGGTAATAATTGAAGAAGATATTATCTCTGCTACAGACACATAAAACACTACACTATGGGCATGCGTAATATAATGATACGAGTGAAGAATTTCTTTTTTCCTTATCTTGCACTCTCTCCACAGTACTTACTTTGCTTTGAGTTTAAAAGCCTTCCAAGATGAGATCCGAGGGAAGTTCCCATTAATCAATGGTACAAATTCACATTGACATCTGCAGTCCTGCAGGCACAGACTTGGGGGTTATTTTTAAAAAAGTTCTGATAATTCCCATGTTTCTGGGATAAAGAACTACTCTTATTCTGAACTTACTTTTAAATACCTTTTAACACGCAAAACCATCTCTGTTGGTGATTTTCTATGTCACGTAAAATAGACATGCATAGAATAATTTGAGAGAGAACTGGAAGGTCAAAGGCCAAAATGATTTCAAGTAAGAAAAATGCATTAAGTGCAACAGATAAACAGGTATGGGACACTTTGCCCATAAATACATCTTCCCTAATCTTTTAAAAAGTATATGTAGCTCATTGGGCTTTGCTACCCATGCCTGACTGACTGCCTATTCTGTACTATTTGATGCTCTAGGATTAAGTGTACTGGGCTTTTATAACTGACCCCAGAGAGACTCGAAAAAAGAGTCTGGAAAGTTTGATTTTTCCRTATTTTATTTGAAGGAGAGGTAACCCTCTCTTTGAGTCTGGGTCAATTCCCATCTTGCCTTGAGCTGTGTGCCTATAGTTGGCATGTAAATGTAAGTTACATTGCCATTAGCAAAAAAGATTTCTGTAGGAAAAATAAAAACCTTACAAGGCTTCTCACGCCCTTCCCCTAGCTAGATTCAACAGTGCTCAACTGCAAGAACAGGGACGCTTACATTCACATTACTTCAGACACCTTTCACTTGTACTGAATTAAAATGGAATTGCCAATAATTGAAAATCAAGGTAAATCTGAATTATGGAACTGGAGATTACCCAAGCAGACCTTCCAAAAAGCTACAAAATAGGAGCTCCAATACCAGGAAACGAGTGATTTCCAGCCTTTGCAATGACCTTGCCTCCTTGTCCAGAGGCTCACACARAGAATGTTCAGCATGGAGGCCCATTGCAGAAGATCACACAATTCCCCTTCCACAAATGGGGATTTTGTGGCTTTCCTCCCCATCGCCCAGCAGCTACACCGCAGCCAGAGCTGGAAGTGTGTAAGAAAAACCCCTGCTCTGCACTCCTGCTCTTCCTGAAACAAATAAAGTGTTGCACTCAGCAATTCTTTTCCAAGTTTGAGTTATAGAAATGGGAATCTTTAAAGCCCATTTTTCCGGGTGTTCCTGTCAGCATCTTTGCTAGCAGCGCCTTGAGATGATGCTATTATTCAGCCTCCCATTTAAAAGAAACCTTTACTAGAGCATATACAGCCAGCTGGGCTTCTGAGTGATTCACAACATTAGTCAGCCATTAGTCAACCAAGAGCTTACATTTTTGGGGAGGAAACAAGATTTCTGAAGACAGAGATTAAATACTCGTAGCATATACAGGAATGTTTCAGGCCGAGGGGTTAAGAGCACTGGGAAAATGCTGGTGGCTGCATTTGAGATGCACTTTAGCAAAAGTGGCAGGCTGGGAATTACCATCCTGCTCCCGYACAGCAAAGGGTTTGTCGCATGTGGGGCTGAAACACTAGCACTGCCGGTCACCAAACTAACATCTTCCTAGGTAAGAAAAGCACACTAAATATTCAGTTATTATCAAGCTTGCTGTTCCTCAAGCCTTCAGYTTCAACTGATGCCTTTTTACCAAAATCACTCTCTGCAATGTCTSCTTCTTTACTTTGACTAAGTTCCTGGTTGCCTAGAAACTCTCTAAAAGATCTGAATTCTTTTTCCTTAACTGTTAGTTAGATAAGTTTAATCCAATCCCTTTATTTTKGTGGCAGAAGCCTGGATGCAAGGCCCAGAAGCGGTGTGGTGTTGACTTCTTGCATCCCAGATGGAAGGCTCCACCAGTGACCTCGTTCCCTGCACCTTCCCTGAACTAGGGACATTTCAGAATAAGCTCTGGCCAAGGCAGAAAATTGAGAATCATTCCACCATTGCACGTAAAGGTTTTATTTTTGATACCTATTTCTATAAATAGCATGATATACTCTGCAGTTTGCAAGATCATTATAGATTACTGTAGCAATAGCTTTATTGCTTCTTAATTAATTAACCTGTCAAACATGCTCCGTTTATATGCAGAAGACCATTAGCACTGCTGCAGATGGAC